ATTATTATTATTATTATTATCAATAATATTATTATTATAATGTCACCTAAACAGGAGTAAGGAAATTTGGGTAACACAAGTAGAGTAGAGTAACAGGAAGTCAAGGACAAGGAAGTAAAGTAAACGTAATTGAAAGTCACGACTGAGTATTGCAAAAGGAAGTAGCCAAACTGTTTATGATCTATTTAATAAGTGAAATAATTATGTCTAGTCATCCAAACATTTGTCGCATGTTCTGGTCGTTTGCCAACTCCGTAAAACACATTGGATCCTTTAAAAAGCTAATTTTCTACATTTTGCCATTCAGAAGTGTCTATTGTATCCTTTGGAATAATACTATCCCTATACGTAATGAACATTAATTGCCTCCCATTAGCTTTTTTCTCAGCCTTGACTTTTGGACGCCTCTTTATCTGAAGTAAGTTTTACTTCATCAGATACTTAGCTATTTCAAAGTTTTAAACTGTGGTATGAAGGAAAATGACAAGGCTCTCATATGGGTATGTCAGTTTCAAAGGTTGATTGAATGCGACGTATCTGGTTTTCCCAGGCCGCAACATAATAATTCTATCACTTTTCAATGTCTTTTTAAAATTAAAATTCTATTCTATCACAACATAAGCTAATGTTTTACAGAATTTTAGGTTTCAGTAGAAGAGTTACGTGTACACTTAATGTGATGGCAAATTAAGAATACTATTGCATCTTCCTCAATCTTTGTAGAGAGATTAAAGATATATACCTACAAAATAAAGACCAGAAGAGATGAGATAGGCATTCTGATATCAGCTCTTCGGAATTCCCACTGTTGTGTATCATGAACATGATTGTATTTCCTTTCTCTTGTTTTGCTAGTTGAACGAGGGACTTGCTTTACCCTAACTAGCCTGCAATTGGAAAATAAAGTCACAAAACATTTTGAAGCTTTGTTTTGTTAATTCTTTCTTGTCTCATTCTACATTTCAAAACATCTCTTCTATATTGTACAAAAGGCTCTAGGGTACATTAAGCCTATCGATAAAACGACTGGCTGTTGTACAAGTGAGTGTGGTTCAACTTATCTATTTATTGGACTCTCATTTATTTTTATCTTTGGAGCGTTTCATAGACTTCCTAATTATTTGACACAGTCTTGCCTCAGACATTCAGTTGTCCTATTTCTTCTTTTATTGCCTTACCGCCCTAACCAATTACTCAGAAAGGAGCCGATCGCTCGCAACACTCCATATTCTCAGATGAAGCATAACCACACAAAGAAGTGAACTTCAAACAACATAGACCTTTAATCAAAGGAGCAGGACGGCAGAAAACCACAGCCGAATGAAGAAACTCGTCTGCCTAATTAATGAAAAGATAATGTTGTTTACCTCCAAGTTTCATGACGCAGTTTTCAGTGTTTCAGTTCTCAAACATCTTTATGGAATAAGTCGTGACCATTTGAAAGAGATCTTATCATGGGTCTCAATATTCCGCTATTTGCAGATTTCCGCTACCACCATTTCCTCCGCTAAACTCTGCTACCGCGACAGCGGGTCAAACAGAAAGAGAGTTGCTGGAAGCAGAGTGACTGCTAGGCCTCGGGAATTACCCGGGAATATGAAAAAACTCGCCGAGACGCGGGAAAATACATAAAAGATCTCGAATATTATTTGAAAATCAAATCCGATAACGTCTTTATGTTCATTTTTGCCGGTCGCGATTGTGATATTAATTCGGCTTTTCCCGGTCTGAGAGTACGTTTCACGCGAACAGGCGGCTATGGCGGCAAGCGGAATTGTATGTGACACCGAGGCTCGACCGGAAAATCAAGATCTCAGAAATGTGTCTGTAAAAGTCTAAATACGCAACATTTGAAACATGCAGGTTCTGCATTACAAACGTGGTATCGCCATGAAAATAATGTTCGTCACTGTGCTGTCGCTTGTGGGGGGTGGGGGTGGGGGTGGTGGAACAATAAAGAAAAGAAAGTTATACAAGCGTCTTGTCGGGCTCGTCATTGTGACCGGTCAATAAACCTGCGCGCGTTCTGAGCGCTGTGAAGTA